GAGCAGTTTTAACGCTGCTGTTACAAACCTCTACCATCCTAATGGCTACGATAAAGCTAACATCAAGTTCTGTTTTGCCAGCCTCTTTAATTAAAAAATGAAAAACATCACCCTCTCAGTGTTACAGCTGAGAAATCAGCCCCTAGCAACCAGGAAGATGCAATCACCCCATTTCTACTTATTTCCTGAAGGCAGCACACACAGAAAATAGATACATTCTGTCAAAAGCAGCATTGCATTGCTTTGCTTTCATCATCCTACTGCTGAGTTTTATCTATTTGATTTGGCCTTTTAGTTGATTTCTTGTAATTGATTTCCCTCCCCCCAACTGAATGCAGTTTCCTGCAGTTATTATCCTGCTGAAATTTAAACCTGTGCATATAATCCCAAGGTTAATAGAGGGCTTCAGAAAAGGAGGGAGAATTGTAACCGACAAAATTCACAGCCTCAGCAGCTGTATTAATGTGTGAGATTTACAAAGAAATCTTCGTGCAGAGCAACAGCACACTACAGACTGCAGACTCCATCATCCAATGGGTAAATCCTGAGCTTTTGGAGTATTATTCATACCTAAACACCTACATGGTGAGGTGAGAGGGTCCCAAAATGACATCAGGATTTTAAGTGGGCTCAAGAGATTTAATAGAACTGTGGTGCAGAACTGGGTCTGGGAGCAAGAAGTGGCACAGTTGTACCAAGAGCAAAGCAGGAAGCTGAAAGTCAGGAGATTGTTGACTTGGGCATCCCTGCTCCCAGGTGAAGTAACCGCCTCTCAGAGTAACAGCATGTCTGCCTTTAGGAAGAGTTATCTTCTGAGATACTCAGTGCTAATGAGAAGAAAATACTTAGGGAATTCCATGTACAGTCCAGACCAACAATCCTATTTATTCTGGTTAATGCTAACCAGAATGATAGAAAAGAACACGATTTTATATTATATTATGTCACAAGTGTTGCTGCAAGGGCTGGAGCAGCTTTGCTCTGGAGCCAGGCTGAGAGCTGGGCTGGTTCAGCCTGGAGAAGACTCCTTGAGGGGAGACCTTAGAGCAGCTCCAGTGCCTAAAGGGGCTACAGGAAACCTGGAGAGGGGCTTTGGACAGGGGCCTGTAGGGACAGGACAAGGGGGAATGGCTTTAAACAAAAAGAGGGGAGATTGAGATTAGATATAAAGTTCTCCCCTGTGAGGGTGCTGAGGCGCTGGCACAGGGTGCCCAGAGAAGCTGTGGCTGCCCCATCCCTAGCAGTGTTCATGGCCAGGCTGGACAGGGCTTGGAGCAACCTGCTCTAGTGGAAGGTGTCTCTGCCCATGGCAGGCAGTTGGAACTGGATGAGCTTTAAGGTTCCTTCCAGCCCAAACCAGTTTGGGATTCTGTGATGCTCTTCTGTAGACTGAAACCACTGAAAAAATGCTTCCTTAGTACATGTTTATTTATTTAATTTAGACGAAATAAAAAAAATGCAGCATTTGTCCCATTTAAACATAAAAATTGAGAAAAAAATGCTTTTCAAAATGATCCATTTGACATCCTTGCAAGTGTTTCATTAACAACACCCACAACCTTGTTTTAATTACACCTTGAAAGCCACATAGCTGAGAAATATGGATAAATGATATTGGAGGTTGTAGGAAGCTGATGTTAACAGAACCTTTCAAAGACCAATGGTCTTCACTGTACAAACCAGTTCTAAGCCTCCAGCAATGGAGAGGAAACCAATGGATGAAGTACAGGTCATAGAATCATAGAATCATAGAATAGTTAGGGTTGGAAAGGACCTTAAGATCATCTACTTCCAGGCTCCCTGCCATGGGCAGGGACACCTCACACTAAACCATGCCACCCAAGGCTTTGTCCAGCCTGGTCTTGAACACTGCCAGGGATGGAGCTTTACTGTCCCAGGCTTGCTATTTTAATAAACTCCATTAGTGCACATTGTGGTTTTCCCTCTCTTCCCAAGACCCCTGGACCAATACAACTCCACAATTAGTCCCAACATCAGCAGATTGAACAAATCTGGGAAAAGGCCTCTGCTGTGATTTGCAGTTTATGGTGGAAAGACTGAGAGCTTTGGAAGTCAAAGGTCACCTTGTGTTTTGAGTTCTCAGATCACAGAGCAAGAAGTCATTATGATCTGGCTACATCCCCTTCATAAACCAGTTGCAGGATTCCCTGAGCAATTCTTTAGCCAGGGGAAGTGCTCGAAGTGGAAAATCACCCAATTATAGTGATGGAAACTCCACCACAGGCCTTGATACGTTTTAAGGATTTATTACACTCACTGTTAAACAGCTACAACTTATTTGTCCTCTGTATGTATTAATTTTCCAAACACCAAACTTAATATCTCTGTTTGCTGGGCTGATGCTCAGGTCTGTTTCCCCTGTAAGTATTTATCAGCCACGACACTGTCTACTAACCTTCCCCGATCAGTTAAATAGATTGGGCCCCTGCTTGTTCACTGCAAGGCATATTTGTCAAACCTGTAATTATTTTCCCAAGCAGTAGCCTGTTTCCCATTCTCAGCTGCTCCAGATAACACATCATTTATAGGTAGAAGCCATATAAACAAATTCTAGCCTCTTAAAAAAACATGAAGTTGCAGAGACCCATCTTGTCTATTTTGTGGGTGGTAGTTTCGCCCCTGTACTCCTTAGAGCCAAGCTTAGCCCTGCTCCTCAACTTCTGAGGAGCTGGAAGGATAGCAGTGGGTGAAGCTGTGCTACAGCCTGTACCATCACAAAGTGCAGCAGCACCACCTCACTTCTAAGGTTTACCAGCTTTTGAGTTGCATCCCTTTTGTCTTGCAGGAAGGAAATGATCTGGCTGGTCTTCAGGCTGTGGCTCCCAAATGTACTTTCTGTACTTGGCCCACAGTCCCAAATAAAAGTTGAGGATCCAAGCATGTCACGTTGGCCATGTACTAGCTCCATCAGGCTGACTGACATTGTTCTGTGCAACTCTGAAATACATAAAACAGGGACATTCATGTACCGCAGACAAGCACAGGCAAGCAAGTAGATGAGATGTCAGCTGCTGGGGGCAATGATGGTGACAGTCCACTCCAAGAACTCTTCCATTAGCACCCATGCAGCTGCCACACACAAGCAGTGAGATAGACGGACATGGGAATCTCTAAGGAAATAACAGTCTTATCCAAACCACATGTACCTAACATGACACAAGGCATGACAAATAACAAGTATTTTTATATTCGTAGTGTCACGAGTGTCAGCAGCAGTTCGATAATGAGCTGATTTCCTATTGGCTGAAGGATAGTAAAACCAGCAAGAAATACTTAGATTTATATCCTTATTCTCAAGTGCTACATATGTTAAAGAAATCCAAGAAGCTAGCCCATCCATCCTAAGCTGTAACTTCATCAAAATACCTGCTTATTAAGAGCTGACACTTCCAAATGTATGGGTTATTCAAAATGGACGCTATGTGTGTAGCGAAACCACAGAAAGGACAAGCCTGCAGATCACCTGCACAACAAAGACCATCTTTTGCACCTCATGAGAGCTTACACTGGTGTTAGCATGGCAGCTTATGTACAGAGAAGCTGTTACCAAAGTTAGGTCAAGCTGTGTAGCTGTAACGTCAGCATAGCAAGAAGCCTGCTGCTGGTATTGCACTGCAGCCAGCAGTCTTGTCTTCCGAAATGAAAGCACAGATGACAACTTCTTCCATCCTTGATTGCTGCAAGCAATTCTCAGCTTTAGTTTTATTACTGTAATTCAGATCAATGCCTGGAAAAGGGTAGTGGGTGGCATACTGAGAGCTGTTTATCAGCACATGAACTATCACGCCATTATTATGCCCAGCAGCACAGCAGACAAACCACGCACATGCTGCCAGGGGAAAGCGGTATTGCCTTTCCCACCCCAACATGTTTTCCATAGGGAAACCGGCTATAGAAGAAAGGGGAAGAAAGGAAGGAGTGCAAGAGAAGAGGCGTGAGCTTGCTTGTGTATTTTAGGCAGAGGTATGTAGAAGAATTGTGTGTCTTTGTGATGTTCCACAGCTGCTACCAAGGGGTTAAGTCTTCACGGGACTCAGTTTTGCAGTAACACCAAATAATCCAAGTAGGAAGGAACAAGTGCCCTGCTTCTCCCCCAGACTCCCTCAGCCAAACCAATCCAGTGTACAATATAAGCTATGCCAGAAGTCCTCTTTCAAATTCTGCCAAAACCCAAGTTCTAAATTTCCAAACATGGCTTGGTACCTTTCAGCAGGGGGTTCAAAATACAGGAAGCCAAAACCCATGAAGCTGCCCCTTCACCTGCCACCCAATTTGAGTCAACTGGAGTCAAGTGGCTCTTGTTAAATTCTGCTATTGAAATAAAAGGGAGTTTTTCCATCTACATTAAATGGGATAGTTTGATTACAGACAACAGTTCCATTTTGCTGTTTCGTAAATTCCTCTACGCACTAAAAAAAAACCTCAAAACAAAACCCAAACCATAAGATTGTATTTTGTGTACAAAAATACTACTTTGTTTACATATTATTTTATTAGAAGATTATCAAATTCTAGGTCATCTACCCATGAAGCTGGGACTCTCATCTTTACTCACCATTTATTCATATGAAGATCAGCAAAGACCAGCCTTGCATTAATCAAGTACTGTGCTGCAGCTGACATTCATCTAGCAAAAAATTATTTATCCAAGTGCTGCAATTCCACCCTCTATTTTTCTACCTTGTGCATTTGAAAGAAACAAGGCAACATGTTAAGAGAAAACTTACACAGGATTAGTGGGGAATTAGCCAATTTACTCAATGAACTGTCCCACCTCTACAGCAAGGACTACCAGACTCCTGGACAACTTGCTTGATAGTGCCTGCTGTGAGAATCCTGGTCTCCCCTGGATGATTGCTTGTTCCTCTCCCCTCTCATCCTCCTTCCCCACCACTTTAGGTCCTGCTAAAGTAAAATCTTCTTAACAGGAAGTTCAAAACTGAAGACAGGTCACTGAAAGAACCAACTGCTTCCACAAGTACAAGCTCCTCTAGGAGTGGGGTAATTTTTATTGAACTCTGAGATGATCAACTGGAAAGCACAGCAATAAAATCCAGAACTGGAACATTCAGTAACAGCCTGAAATGTAGAATTGATTTTCATTGCCATAAGGGTTTGACATGCAGTTTTTGCAAGACACTTAAAGCTTTAAAATCTCCTTTTAATCAGTGTAATTGCCCATTCCCTCCCCAAAACACAGGTTCTAAATTGCAGTGATTTCCTGATTTTTGAGAAGTAAGGCACTACAATGTCCTTTCAAAGTAGTTAGCGATTATCACAGCAGATGCTTCCCTCTGAGCTCTGAAGTTCAAGACTGACCAAGGAAGAAAACACAACCGGTGACTGAAGATGTATATCCAGTGATGAACTATGACCACTGTTACCAAAACAGTCGCTGCATTCTAGGTGATCTACTGTCAGACTTAAGAGGAAGCCGTGAGTGCACAGAGCAGAGCTTACAGTGTTCATCCTCTCACCTAGGAAAACTGTCTGCTCTAGTCCTGAAAACACCATTAAAGCTCCCCTGCTCCAGTAAGGAGCCAGATTTTAACCACAGTTCCTATCAATCAGTATACTCTTACGACTGGGGACAAGGCACTGCATTTATAATTTTGCAATAGGAGTTGCAGCCACTGCAATGCTTTCAATTGCACATTCATCAGTGCCACGGCGGATTCTGAAGTAACCATCTTCTCCCCATGAGGTGCCCCAGCTGTTCTTAACAATCCAGAACTTCTCACCACTTCCTGGCTCTGTACCATAGCCCACCAGCAAGACAGCATGATTGGTCAATTCAAAAGGATTGAAGCGATCCTGAAGCCCAGTGTGATGGTAGATCCCCTCTTTATAAAGCATGAAATCATTATAAACCTCAAAGGCAACAGCCATTGGCCCATGCAGAACAAGCTCAAGTTTCATCAGGGCTTCATTGCATCCTCCATAGAAACCACCAACATAGTGGTACTCAGACGTGTAGTAGTGGTAACAGCTGCGCTTGAAAGTGCAAGGAGAATCTTGGGCCGTGTAAGGGAAGCAGTCCTCTTCCACCACACCAAAGTCTTGGACGTACTTGCCAGCAATGAGGTATGGGAAGCCACCATCGCAACCTAAACAGAAACATATCTGCTTAGTCCCTTGGACAGTTATTTGAGGTGGAAGACTCTCCTACTGGGATTTTCTGGAGTACTTTTAGAAACAGTATTAAACACAAACTGCATTTTTCATTCCATTAATATTCCCTTTAGCTATAGCTAGCTTTCTGAAACACACAAGACAAAATTCACATCAGTGGGACCTATACCAGAAACACTGATGTATGGACCACCTTCTTATACAACTGCTCCTGGCATTCCCCATCAGGAAGAGCACTTAGCTATGTGCAGTAAAACGACCTGTCCTAACACAGGTACTGTCCTTTAGAAAGCTTTAGACATTGCTTTTGCTCATCTCCTCCACCCTATATGCTCCTCCTCCCCCTGAATATGGCTTGGGAGAACATTTAGTTCCACTCTTCCCACGTATGAATTGCAACTTAGCTGTATTTTAATCCTACTCCTTAGATACTTCTCACCTCCCAAGTAGATCTACCTATAATCCAGTAACATTCTCAGCATGAGACCACCTACTCCTGGTACAATCCCATCCCTACAGTAAAGGTGGGCTGACAACTCTGGAATATTTTCTGCATATATTTTCTTTAATATTGTAAACGATTTTAAAATATTTATGAAAAAAAACCCACCAAAACCTAAATCATGGATGATGGGGAAGGCAGAGAAGTTTTTAATACTCAGTCTCCTTCCGCAGCACTCACTACTGAAAGTTGTCTTTGTATACACCAGTGTACTTACCCTGAGAATACTGGCTGCAAGACACAACCTGCTGTGGACTAAAGATCGGTTTCTGAGTGTTGTTTGTGAGGATACGTACTCTTGCTTCCAGCATGCCCATGGAGGAAAATGCGTAACAGCTACCACAGGCACCTGAGGATGAAAAAAACCATGAAGAGCAGTCAGTAACATAAACAAGTCAAGTCACCTGCATTCAGCTACAACTATTGTTAGAGTCCTCTCAAAAGCGTCAAAATGTACCAGACAGTGATTGGACGTTGAACACTGATAGAAAAAAACCCCAAAACTAAAAACAAACACCACCAATCCCCCTCTCAAACCTCAAATACACATTTAGCTTTTAAGCATGCAATTCAAAAGTCTTTTTAGTAACAGCTTCTGAAGGAACACTGAGCTTATTCAAGAATCACTGAACTCCTCTGGACTCGCTCCAACAGCTCCATGCGCTTTTTGTGTTGCTGCCTCCAGAGCTGAATGCAGGACTGTCAGTGGGGTCTTACAAGAGTAAAGTAGAGGGGGAGAATCCCCTCCCTTGACCTGCTGCTCCCACTGCTGGTGATGCAGCCCAGGACATAGCTGGTTTCTGGGCTGCAGGTGCACACTGCTGGGTGATGGGGAGCTTCTTGTCAACCAACACCCCCAAGTCCTTCTCCTCAGGGCTGCTCTCAAATTCAGTCTCTGCCCAGCCTGTAGTTGTGCTTGGGATTGCCCCGACCCAGATACAGACCCTTGCGCTTGGACTTGTTGAACTTCATGAGGTTAGCACTGGCCCACCTCCCAGGCATGTCAAGGTCCCTCTGAATGGCAGCAATAGACAACGTACTGCTCTACAGTGTTTTCCAGTAACATCATTTAAGAGCTATGATATTCCTTCAGAACGAACCAATGGGGACCACATTAGCAGGGCTGAAAAGGCTCATAAACTACTGCCTTAAACTGTAAGGCTTTATGGAGCACATATGCTAAGGCTTTTAGATTATTTCTACATAACAATGCATCTATTACTGCAATTTCCAGTTGAAAAAAATATTCCACTTCTGTAGCTACTCCCAAAATAACCAACTTCTGGAAGTCAAGTGGTACAAACAGCAGCCTTGATACAGAGGATTCATCCAAGGTCCCCTTACCTCCCAAGGATATGTACACTGGCTTTGCAGAAATTTCCCTTCTGTTTCCTGTCAGAGTTAAGTCTCTTAGTACTGGGTCTAGTTTTAGGCCTCTTCACTTCCTAGAAGCTTCCTATAACGTACTATAAACCTTTGGTAGTGGAATGACAAGCATGACAGGGAACAACAATTACTTGGATGAGATCCTATTTTATCTACTGATTGTCACCAAGGTGCCGGATTTCCTTTTGCTTCCTGACAGTAGGAAAGTAAAATATTGCAGAGCTATGAAAATGAGGGAGGCTTGAGGAACAAAACAAAATACTTTCTCCTGAACTGTGTAGGTGTATAAAAGCAGAGCTATTACAAAAGCAAGACTTCATCAAATTGCACCTTCACTCAGTTAGACATGTCTTTGAAGAGAAGGGGCAAAATCAGCCTGAAAATGAATGCTCTTTGCCCAGCAGGGCAAACCGAAGCAGTGAAAGGTGCCTCCCACTCATTGTACAGTCACAGCATCCAAGAAGGGCCACTCTGCAAAACATTTTGTTGCATCTTGTGTGCAAAAATGTAAAAAAATAGTTAACATAATCATTTCAGTCTGTAGTCTGTTGGGGTGGTTGCTACGTTTCTTTCCTGCTACCAAAGCCCTATTTGCAAGGCCTACAGCATCACAACCACACTCTATCAGCAACATCAGCACAGCTGCAAGAGTAGTTGTTTTTCTGAGACCTCCCACAAATTGTCTTCCAGAGACAATTAAAGCTTAAGCCCTATTAGATTCCACCGCAAAGGGCTGTTAGATTATGAGCAGTAAGAAGGACCACAGCACATCTAGCGAACAATCAGCTGACAAGGCTTTTCTCCTACTTTGATCTGCAGAAAAAGCTTGCAGAAAAGCCAGCAAGAAATTGGAACTGCACTCTGAGGCTAACAATATCTGTAGCTTCCCTTCTTCTCCCACCTGTAAAGTTGATAACAAGTAACAACCAGGCTATCTTCAAAGATGACATATCTTGGCTTGAAGATGCAGTTACTGCTCTATAAACAACTTGAGAACTCAATCTTTTACTTTCTTGACTACATGAAATGCTACCAGGGATGTTAACATGCTGGCAGTTAAGTATTACAGTCCAAGACAACTGCAGTTGCATGAAGCCCAGCATGTCTCAAGGTATTCTACACAGAATGCACATTTCCCTTTTAATTCTTGTCCACTTCAGATACTGCATTTGTTTCTTCTCAGGTAAAGAGCATTTGACTCTATGATAACCTGTGAAGTCATGATCTTGAAATTCAAACAATTCTCTCTGCATGTGCCAGAAAATTTGCATCTTACTGCTTGCAGCCTTCTCCCCTATGGTATTTTCTAATTAGCCACCTAATAACCCTAATAATATACAACTAAGTCCTTCTAATACTATCATTTTAATGACGTATTGATATCCAATGCCTCAGAAAAATCATACAAGCTACCATAACCAAGACTTAATTTGTATGTCAGCAGTATTTTGCACAAGGTCATCTGCAGGGCTTTTTCCCCCTTGAAAGCCTGAAAGCTAAAATTCTAATTGAATGGAGAAGAATGCATATTTCACAGACATTTAACATACTCAGCATGGATTCTCAGATTACAGGAAAAGTGTAGGCAGCTTTATTATTGGAAGCAACAGACTACTTCTCATTTAGAGAAATTTTCAAGCAATACAAGAGAGAAAGGGCAAGTTTGGGACAGAGTGTTCACCTTCCTGGAAGGTAAAAGTGCCCTTGGAATATTCAGCTTACACCAGGAGAAAGTACAGAACTTGCACCTGCATAGGTCTGTATCATTCCCTGTTACCATCTTTCAGTGATGCCGTGTGTCAGCTTTAGAGTTAGAACTCAGAGGCCTTCCTAAGCTGCTTCTGCTACCAGTATTTGGCAGAACCACCAAGCCATAAATGAGGGACCTGTGATTTAAGTCATCCCTTCCCCTCAAAGTTGCAGCCAAACAGGTACCAACAGATGCAAGTTTATTTGGCAGTGGTGGAGCAGGGAAGGGGCACATTGAGTCCACTCCTGGCCTCCAGTATGTAATCATCTAATTCAGATATCCTACACCACAGTGCTGTAAAAGCAATCCCTATAAACATACATCAGAATGCTACCCTTTTAAGTCTACTTTAAGTTAAATACTTCACTATCACAGGGACAAATATATGCTTTTACAAATATTCTATATTTATCAGTGTCTACACTTTTCATAGTGCATGTGCAAGTAGCCATTCAATTCTTGAAGTTACCGTGGTGATAAGATTTAGAAGCAGTATAAACAATTTCACAGGCTTATTCATGAAAACTGCATCATAATTTGCCATCAGCAGTAATTAAGGAAAGAATTAAGTGTACATCAGTTCTGTCAGCATGCAGAAAACCATGACTGAGACTGCTTGGACAAAACAGCTGTCTTTACGCAGGGCACTGTGGTAATCGCCTTTCACTCCACATCAAGAGACACTGCTGAGTGGATAATCCAGTACCACCACCAATTTTGGCACAGTGTTGTCAGCCAGGATTCCACACAGTTTCCACAGATTATTTGTAGTTAAAGGTGTAATCTGTCAACTGCAAGACACTAGACAAAACCCGCCTGTTAACAGCAAATTACAAAGTACAGCAAAGGATCTGTAGAGCATTTCATTCAGAGTTTTGGTATTTTGTTTTTACCTTGATTCCGAACAGGACTGACATAATTGACACCATTCACATTTCTCCAGTCCCAGGATTCTGGCAAGATTGAAACTTTTTTGAGTAACTCGGGTGTTAGAGGTGCAGGCTTTGGTCTAAAGAAAAGAAAATGCTTCTATCACACTCTGGTCAAAGAATCAGTCGCATAACGCTCAGTTGTCATCTTCTGGCTGCTACTAGTTGCACTTCACGCTTAGTGAAGTGCAATTTGAAACAGACTTCATCTGAGTGGGTGTCAATCTCAAGAGATTAGTTTCAGCAGGATGCAAGACCTACTCAAATCCTTCCCTGAGGGAACTACATTATGACTATCCACAAGCCACTGAGGTCAAATGCTTCTGAAGCAATCTGAAGTGCTGAGGTGACTTTCAACAACTATAACAAGACAGCTCTGCAACAGCTATTTTATACCTCTGCCATCACAAGTTATCTGACTTCAGAAGGTACTGTGCCTTGGCAGCATGCACTGACAGCAGCCACAGACTGTTTAATTGCAGACACAGACACATCAACACTTCAATAACTGCAGTCCCACTTACCCTGGAGACTTCCCTGGAGCAAGTTTTTACTGTGACTATTGAAGTACTAATGTTACTCATCCTCACCTACTACTTGCAGCCAAGTGAAGCTTATATACCGGATGCCAAAGAGGGACTGTCCATCAGGGACTGTAGTGATAGGACAAGGGGTAATGGGTTCAAACTTAAACAGGGTAGATTCAGGTTGGATATAAGGAAGAAGTTCTTTACTGTGAGAGTGGTGAGGCGCTGGAACAGGCTGCCCAAGGAGGTCGCAAATGCCCCATCCCTGGCAGTATTCAGTGCCAGGTTGGACAGAGCCTTGAGCAACCTGATCTAGTGGAAGGTGTTCCTGCCCATAGCAAATGGGTTGGAACTAGGTGATCTTAAGGTCCTTTCCAACCCAAACTATTTTATAATTCTATGATATATCAGGAAACCAAGAGCTTTCACATAACCTGATGCTTGTCCCATAAATCATGCCATTCACAAACATCAGACACTGGAGTCCGTTCTGAAAGCATGAGAGGGCCAACAAAATGCTGTCGTGGCACTGCATGGTTCAAAAGATGTTCTGAACAGATTACTGTATTTAAGACCAACTACAAGGTTAATCCTGAGTTTATGATGAAGCCATGATAATCTGCATAATACTCCCAAGCAAATCAGAAGTTTTACTGTATACTAGGACCTTCCACAAAAAATTGCCAGTTTGGACAAAGTAGCACTCCTACCCACAGCAGTATCATGAAGCAACAGTACAAAGAAGGTGGAAGAAGCAACAGTACAAAGAAGGTAAAACAGCTGTAAAGAAGAGATCTTCACATCAAAGAACTCAATTTCTCAAATTAGTGTACAGGATCATGCATCTATCCCCATCACCACCCTCTGCCATGTGATCTGCAAGACCCTGAAGGCACTCTCAGGGCTACTTCGTGGTTCTTCATGAGACAGTCTACTCCTGTTAGAAGACCTTGGTAGCAGACATAGCAAATGATCAAAGTAACCAAGGGAATACCTTCAGAAAATCTTGAGTAGCCATGTTTAATAGCAGAATGCTGTTCACTGCTTTTTAACTGCAGTTATGAACTAGCAGAATCAGGAAGACAGTCAACCAGAAACTCCTGACTATGGCAAGCAGCTGATAGGTAGACAGGAGAGTGAGATGACAACTTGAGACTGTCTTCACTTCTTCCATGTACATATGAATTCAGCAGTGGATTACTGGGCAAGATTAAAGGGTAGATGACCCTGTTTGTCTCAACTGCTTGAGAAATCTCAACTGCTTGAGAAACAGGTGCTCAGAATAATCATTCAAATGAAGACATGCTGGCACTCCATGAAAATGAGCTGAAAAGTCTTGAAACTTGACTAAACAGCTGAAATACAAGCCAAAACACAGCTAGGAAAAGCCAGGATAAACTTAAGCAGATTCTCTGCAGCAGCAGGGTTTATGGCAAAACAAAAGACCTTAGTACCTTGGAGCTCTGGAATAGACACCTCCAGCTCTTCTAGTTAGGTCTTCCAGGGAAAAGTGTTCATACTCCTTGTATCTTGCTGCTCTCCAGGACTTCTGCTGAGCATTAATAGCATTTACGAAGTCAAAGTTGTGCACAAAAGGTCTGCTTGAAAGTCTGCAAACAAAAACAAACAAAACAGTAAGAAAAGACTGGGATTGAAAGGTAATTGTGTTCTCTAAACTGAATATGGAGAACTCTTTAAAACTGGAAGAGTACGTACTGGTAAAACATGCAATTGTTTGATCAAGGATATTTCAGACAGACTAACTAGAATGGTACAATCATCATCTTAAGACATACCAGATTTTTAATTGGGCTTTGCCACAGACTGAAGGTAAAACTGAGTGATGTGATGGGCATACCCTCCTCTATTTTTGTGCATTCAGGTTTATTCCCAGCACTATCGCTGGCATTAACTTTGCCCTCAGTAACAGAATTGGTCCATATGGTTTTAGCTGAAACCTGAAGCACACACAGTTACCAAGCATTTTATTCCAAAGGTCACTTATCTCTTGCTTACCTTCTCCTGGGTTTCTGGAGAGGTAGCTCGTTTATGTGAACATCTGAGGGAGATGAAGAAATCTTCTGTCCAGTGAAACAAGCCCAGTTGTGGCCAAGTACATCATGTACCCATCCTGGCAGAGTCTCATTGCAGTAGCTGGTTACATTCTGTCCTTCCTTTTTGTACTGCAACGAGAAGAGGTTATGTTTGTGTCCAGTAGATGAATTTGCTGGAATAGCAGTAATGCCCAGTCACTGAGCTGCGTCTTGCCTGTGTTTCAGAGCAAGTGGCCAAATACCTCTAAAGAGGTTGAGCAGATGAAAGAAACTGATCTTTATCAAACAGGTTCTGACTTGCACTTTTTGCAATAAGCACACATTAGTATCAATATTAACTGAATAACTGTGCTGTTTTGCCTAGAAAGTAACTGAACCCAAATGTAGAAGACAGATTTGTGACTTATCATCATGGAAAAAAGACAAGGAATTATCTGCTAGATAGCAATTTATAACAACTTGCATTTTTTTTTTTCCTCCAAGAGATCTTTCTTTCTTTTTCTAGAGTTTAAATTTACTGCCTTTTGTTTTTTTAAGATACAGACAGATAGAGAAGAGATTCAGAGCAGCCCTGCAGAGAAGGACTTGAGGTGTTGGTTGATGAGAAAATGAACATGAGCCAGCAATGTGCGCTCACAGCCCAGAAAGCCAACCATATCCTGGGCTGCAACAAAAGGAGGGTGACCAGCAGGTCAAAGGAGGTGATCCTGCCCCTCTGCTCTGCTCTCGTGAGACCTCACTTGAGTATTGTGTGCAGTTCTGGTGTCCTCAACATAAAAAGGACATGGAACTGTTGGAACAAGTCCAGAGAAGGGCCACGAGGATGATCAGGGGACTGGAGCACCTCCTGTATGAAGACAGGCTGAGGAAGTTGGGGCTGTCCAGCCTGGAGAAGAGAAGGCTGCGTGGAGACCTCATAGCAGCCTTCCAGTATGTGAAGGGGGGCTATAGGGATGCTGGGGAGGGACTATTCATTAGGGACTGTAGTGACAGGACAAGGGGTAACGGGTTAAAACTTAAACAGGGGAAGTTTAGATTGGATATAAGGAGGAAATTCTTTAAGGGTGGTGAGGCACTGGAATGGAAGTTGTGAATGCTCCACCCCTCGCGTGTTCAAGGCCAGGCTGGACAAAGCCTTGGGTGACACAGTTTAGTGGGAAGTGTGTCTCCCCAGGACAGGGGCGTTTGAACTAGATGATCTTAAGGTCCTTTCCAACCCTTACTATTCTATGATTCTATAACCTGAACAGTATCCACACCATTTGGGCAACTTTCAAAAAAGTGAATTTAGCAAGTTCCTTACACTGTTCTTTCAGTTCAAATATATCAGCAAAATTAGGAAGGAGGTGAGGGGGCAGTCAGTGGCAACGCTTCAAGATAAACGAGATATAGTCTGTGTAGAAACACAAAATTAAACAGCCTACCTTTTTGTAGGCTGGCAGACTGTAAACTGCTACTGAACCGGCTTTAAAAAGGGGACATGTGAGACTTTAAGACCATAGCCTACCAACTGGATAAAGGGAATTTGAACTCCAAAAGCCATTTTCCACTAGGAAATGAAAATACGCCCATAAGGTCGCAATTTGCTTCTCCCTCCTCCCTGGTCCAGCTGATGGACAACTGCTGCAGGCATTTCCTCTGCTGACTTAAGAAGATGGGTTTAATTTTTAACTTAATAAAAGACCACTGCAGCCATGTCCCATGCGATAATTTCATCAGCCAATGATCTCATCTGCAGCATTAAGTAAACTCCATCCAGTGATCTGACCAATCTGGAACAGCTCCTGTAGAAAGGCACCCAAACTGTATTCACAGTTCAAATTCTGAGGTTTGAAAACAGTAAGCTTTAATGCTATTTCAAATGCATATTCTTCAAGTCTGACAACTCATGTGACTTCACCTAATACCAGAATTTAGCCAAGCAACAACAGCATTAACCTTAAAAGCCTTCATGTACCTAAATTTCAAGGCTTGCTTTTAGATACCTTAAGTAAGCTTTTTAGTCAAGTTTTTCCTGTGTTAGTCATCATGACACAATCAAATTACATGTTCAATTCTAGTCCTGGTAAAAAAATTAATTGTTTAATGCTGTCTTTAAAATTTTACAGAACCCTGAGAGGAAAGCAAGTATAAAAGCAAGTATGAAGACTTTATTGGACACAACATTTTAACAGGGATTCGGCAGTACTACACAACATAGGCTGCCATCCTCTTTTACATCTGTTGTTCTCAATTTAAGCCATGTTCAGGCAATAATCCAACTTGAGTTCCAGGAGGCAGGACTAACCCATACATTAAGCCTGGTGGAAAGACAGCTCATCTGCCATCAAATTTACAAATGTGCCTGTGCATTTTCATATGGGATGGACATTCTTAATTAGGACAGAACTGCAGACTTGCAGATGCCCTACTGCACAAAATACAGATGATGGTATTACCAGAACAAACAACTGCATCTTGCTACCCAACATAAAATGCAGACAAATACCAACTACAAATACACTTTCTTTCCTCTAGGGAACATTCTGCAGTTCAGACATTTAGGCTTTCAGATCTACACTTCAGGGATGCAGCAGCTGCATATGGCCACTTAACCAAATTCAACTAAGATACTGGTTATGTCAGAACAACAGTCCTTGTTTTTAACCAAATTTGGCAAGTTGGGGAAGAGAGGAAAAAAGGTGACAAAGATGTCACCAAGTCACTCTGGAAAAGATTAGTAACTTGGGGAGTAGAATATTCTATAATCTCTTTCTTTTTGCTGAAGTAATGCTAATGTTTTATGACAGACTTCTTTTCTTTACAGGAGGACTTCTCAAAAGTTAGAAATACTACCACTTAGATTAATGGACAATGAGAATCTTACAAGACCATCTCCCTTGGACTTCTCAAAAGTCAGAAATACTACCACTTAGATTGATGGACAAACAGTGAGAGTCTTACAAGACTGTCTCCCTTAAAAGTGGTAGTCTTAACATTAAATACCAGAAAGATACCAAGTAATTGAAACAAGTTAGCCTAAACTTTCCTTTCAGCCTGGCTCTAGCTTTGCTGTTGCTATTTCTTTTACATCCCTTGGGGGGACACCACCACCACCATCCCACCCCCCACCAATCTTTAAAGCTTGATATCTTGCACAGCCCTAGAGAATCCTTCTATCATCCAGAAGAAGCACATGCTCAAGATTCTGCCAAGAGTCAGTACACTAACTTCATATCAAGTTCAGTATAGGGATGTTTCAGCACACATTAAATAAGAAACAAGAGCATTCCCATAAAACAAACAAGTTATCTTGTGCCGCAAACAAACACCAGGCAGAGTAACTACAACTTGTGAGAAGCACAAAGCAAGAACACAGTAGGATGCCACATTTAACTTGGCAAGCCTCGAGGGACAAGCGCAACAGTTAAAACAGTTACAGCATCTTTACTTAAGCTATTATAGCAAACTGAGGAAAACATACATCGATAAGCTCACCCAATTCACTCCCTTGGTGTGGAAAGTCATTTCCCCACCATTCCCAAATGAAACAATAACTTGTAAAGGCAGTGCGTCCCTAAAGAAATTTTAGTAGGTGTCTGTTTAATAAGCCAGAGGAACAAAGGGCTATTAAAAACCCACCAAAATATGCATCACCATCTCTGTGCTTATAGCCAACACAGCTCTAATAAAGCCACCATTTAGCCAAGCCATTCTTGTTAGTAATCAATAGCTTCATTCTTTAATATTAAGCAAAAATACACGGGAGGTTCAATTAGCATGAGTTGCACTTCTGTGCTTGGAACACATGATGTACTGTATTTGCTTGAATACTGCTGTTCATTTTGCCTAGCAACTCCATCCTCTCTGTTGAACGGCAGAATATGAGGAAGGAGTTAAAGCACCACCGCAGGTAAATCAGGATGCTTTATCTGCCCTGTCACCCTTAAAATTTAAGAGTGGTCTTTAAGCAATTCATACTTTCCTGACAAGCCCGAACCCACAGCCATGGAAGATGAGGTACATGGCTTTCTGTATTATGGCTGCACCACCATCACAAACTGCTCCATGAACCAAAATGTTACTCCACAATCAAGCAGTAACTCCAGAACAGTGTTCACATTGTAAGGTTATTTTAGAGTGAAACTAAGTTGTTTTACCAAATAGTAAAACAATAACAAATTACTCCCTATTAAACATACCAGTTCTACACCTTCTTGCTGTAAAGCAAGAGACTGCCAGCAAAGATAATTCTTCCTTTCCATGAATTCCAAAAAGACTTTGTCTAATGACTTTCTACATTCTGAACAGCCATCAAGGCTAAGAAATAGTCTAAAATTGCTTTTATGCTTTCCTCTTGCTGCATTTCAAGAGAGGAAGGCCCCTGCCAATTAGTATTCTATTCTATTCCAAGGACTTCTTGATTACAACCAGTGCTAAGCAATACCTACCCTATTTTACTCCAAGGGCTTCTTAATTATGACCACCAATAAGCAAATGAAGTCTGCTGCGCTTATTTTCTTTCAGGTAAAATGGTAGGAGCATTTTAAACAACAGGCAAACACTCTCCAAAAACTTCTGAAGCATGTATTGTTCTGAATATGTTACTTGTCCCCTACAAAATTTACAGTAAAAGATGATGGGATAGGTCCTAAGAGAGCACTAACTGCATCTGGTATAAGAAAATGCATTTTTAGCTAGATCTTTTGTATTTCTATTTCATATGTAATGCAATATTTACTGGATTGAAAGTAAACAGATATACATCTAAATATGTCATAGGGTCAAGCAGTTCACTAGGAACCATTTTTTTGCCCCAGGTCCCCACTAGCAATTGTGAAATAAGTTTTGCCGAATATCGGTAAGGCAAGTTCTTGCCTAACAAAGTCAACCGGTCCACTTGCTGTCAGCAGCAGAAGATACATTTATTAAATGCTGTGGTATTTCCTCATGCTTCTTGGATATTATACTTGCATCTTGGTATTTTGTTGTTTCCTTTATCGCAGCAAAATTATAGAGAGGCTAACTGAATGGGGCTCTAATCCTCTCTATGATATCTAAGGAAAGGCAGCTTTAATTTAAGCGTGTCTTGCTAATGGATTCCCTACTAGTGACCAACGAGCCAAACAAGTTCGCTATTTCTCAATACCAAAAGTGACTGCAAAACTACTCATTGATTTGTCTACAAAAGCTAAGACACAGTCATGACCATGAAATGCAATTAATTGGGCATTGCTGCTTCTCAGGTGGATACACATTTATTGTTTTGAGCAGCAAGTTGGATCAGATGATATCCAGAAGTTCCTTCCAGCCTAAATTATAACCAAAACTTTATAGAATATTATTTAAGAGTACTCTTGCAAATCAATGCATATACATTTTCATAAACACAGACTAATATACCAGATCAGCGATTATTAGTCACTTGACATAGTGCTCATCTTCCAGGAATGTATTTCACATGGTACTGATAGCAGGAGCAAAGCCTTCAGTGACTCTCAACTGTCTTAAAGTTGGTGCCCTACAGATCCATTTACATTCCAGAGCAGGCCACTTACTGTTTCTGATTAAATTCTTCACATTTAAGAATTAGTTTGACAATCAACACTTATCTCAAGTGCTTACCATGGCAAATCTGGATTCAGTGCAAAATACCAATCTAAGGATTCCTAGTCCGCTAGCTCAACTACATTCTCCTCAGATGAGTGCACAAAGGCCAGCAATGATTGCTGAATTCCACCTGCCAGAGAAGACACCTCAAGCCTGAGCTCATGCACCACTGTCCTCAGGGAGCCAGGAATTCCTACCACTTCTGATGCAGGCCCTCCCACTGCAGGGAAGCTCTCAGAGGTGTCCCTGCCTGGGAAGCTTCAGAGTAATTCCGTCTGGAGTACCCTTCAATGCTGTAGCTTTTGCTGTATCACCTGCCAAATTTATGAGGTGCACATGACAGCAATTTAGCATCACTACCTTATACAGATGAGAAAATGTCTATTGGGTATTTCTCCATCACATTTTGCTCTTGCTCAAGTATAAGACACAGGATTTTACACCAAAGCTTCGTATTTTAACAAGTTTTAGTTGTGAATGCTGTAGTTTTGTCAGATAGGTAATTCTGTTTATAGCAGATCGTATAATGCCACATTTGGGTTTATTCTTAAAACAGTACTGATGACACAGGGATGTTTTAGCTATTGCTGAGCAGAGCTTACAGAGAGTCAAGGCTTTTTCTGCTCCTCATACCACCCCACCAGCAAGTGGGCTGGGAGAGCAGAAGGAGCTGGGAGGGGTCCCAGCTGACCACAGGGATATTCCACATCATATGATGTAAGCTCAGCAATAAAAGCTGAGGGAAGGAGAAAGTGGGGACAGTCAAAATTATGACATCTGTCTTCCTAAGTAAGAGCTATGCATAATGAAGCCCTGATTTCCTGGAGATGACTGAACATCTGCCTGCTGGTGGTAAGTAGTGAATGAATTCCTTATTTTGCTTTGCCTGCATGTGCAGCTTTTGCTTTACCTATTAAAGTACTTTTATCTCAACCCTGAAGTTTTCATACTTCTACACTTCCCCATCCCACTGTGAAGGGAATAAGTGAGTGGCTGCGTGGCACTTAGTTGCCTACTGGGATTGACCCAGAACAAACAGCATGTAAACAATTCCACCATTAGTCCTGTAAAACAACCTACACAGTCCTTTCCCTTAACTTAAGTGAGCTCAAATCAGTATGAACTAAGTTGCAATTAAACTGGAGCCTCATACATCATTTTTATTCAGTAAGGATTACAGTTCTGGAAGAGTGATCACTCACTTTTGTTAACATCTGAAAACACTGACTTGAAAATACCTGCTGTGAAATAAACCATTTACAGTGGCTCCCAGGAAGACAATTTAAAGCAAAAGTCATTTCTTTACCCTACTTACTACTAGCCAATGTTCAGGGATTTCATGCTTGGGCAAGGCCTGGGTGATTAGTAGCAGCTCATCTGAAGCCAGACACAAGATAGTACGTCCTGAAACAACATGTTCACTGCTTCTGCCTAGGACTGCACTCACCAACTGAGCAGTCTTGCTCCACAAAATGTCTGTCTCTCAGGTAGCAAAGTCATCCTGCAGAGATTGCTTCAAGCCACCCATCACAGCAGCACCAGAGCACTCCTCAGCAAGTGGGTTTTCCCCTGCCTATCACTTGCCTGTCAGCACTGTTTTCAGCTTGACCTGAAGTCATTAACAGGGACTGGAGATAACAGCATTGCTTCAAAAGAACAAGGAGCAGAAAGGCAGCAGAAGGGTTCCTTAGATATTAAAGTAGCATTCTGGAATAAAATTTAAAGATATTAGAAATCCTCCAGCAAGGAGAGCAGATGGCCTTTCTAAAGTTTCCATGCATCTGAGAACACCTTTAAGGAAGGAGAAAAGCAGTGATGTTTGCTATTTCACTTGGCTCTGCAGTGTCAGGAAGAAAACTGATTTAAAAAAAAAAACAAGTCCAGGCTACCAAGAGAGTTAGTTTCATGAAGGCCTTCAATTGCTTTAAGCATGCCCAGAAGGGAACGCATCAGCATCTGTAACAGTTTTCAGACAATACCTCTCCCCTCCCTCTGCTCCCTACACTGCCACTGATGAAAGTCCTTTATCTGGTAATCCAGGCAAACCTTAGAGCCAAAGACAACCAAGCATCCCAACTGCCCCATGGTGGCACTCAGGGACTAAGGCGAAGCCTAACTACAGACCATTTTAGCAACAGTCAGTGATGCAGAACACTACAGGTTAACTCACCTTAAAAAATGCAAACCACTTGTAGTCATTTAACACCATTTCAAAGCCTTGATTGTAAATCAGAGTGAAGAAACCATAGTTGCCCAGACTATCCTGAGCCACATCTAACTTCTGAAAGTTCACAAGCACCTTTCTTTCCACAGGCCCTGCAAGAAATACAAGCATTACTGCATGATTACTGCATGGAAGAGACAAAAATTAAAAATCACTACATCGCAGCATTTACTTTATTCCAAGACAGATGTTAAAACACACTTGTAGAACAGTCTTCTGCAAAAAAGACATCAGGAAAACACACTTCAGGGACTTCATGTATCTGCCAATGGGTATATATACTCATTTTTGCCACTGCTAGACAGTATTTGTACATTTAATTATCAGCACTGAACAACTGTTACTGGGAAACATCAGCTTATTCAAACATAACTTGCTATACAGCTACACACGACTCATACTCTGTGTCACTCATACACTGCGTCTCCTCCTAAACATCTGGGATGAAGTATCAACCACCCCATTCTCTTTCACACCAGTGACCTCCACTGCTCTCACTGAACCTGCCCCATCTGATCAAAGAGCAGATGATGCAGAAAAATCATAAAATCAACCAGGTTGGAAAAGGCAACTTTAGGATGATCAAGTCCAACCATTACCCCAGCACTGCCTAGGCCACCACTAACCCATGGCACTGAGGGCCACATCTAAGCGGTTTTTGAACACTTCTAGGGACAGTGACTCCACCACTGCTCCGAGTAGCCTGTTCCAACGCCTGAGCACCCTGTGAAGAAATCTTCCCTAATACCCACCCTAAACCTCCCCTGGCTTCAGCTTGAGGCCGTTTCCTCTTGGCCTACCCCTCATTACTTGGGAGCAGAGACCGACCCCACCTCACTACAACCTCCTGTCAGGTAGTTACAGAAAGCGATCAGGTCTCCCCTGAGCCTTCTCTTCTCCAGACTAAAGCCCCCAGGTCCCTCAGCCATTCCTCATGAGTTTTGTCCTCCCAAATAAAAAGTATCTATTATTTTTTAAGTAACACCGACACACAAAGATTAAGTAGCAATTCCCCACCGCTATTATCCCCTCAAAAGAAGTGGTATTTCTATTTCCAAGCTCCCACAAGCTCTCACAGCCGGCCCCGGCCAGATGTCATGAACAACCTCACTCTGCCCCTGGAACAGCCGCTTCCAGGAAGGGCTGCGGGTGCCTGTGGGCTGCGAGGAAGAAGTGAACGTGAGGTGCTCATGAAGAGGCCTCAAACCAAACAAAACCCCCAAAACTGAAGCGGGAAAGTAACAGCGCTGCCCGCTGCGGTCACCCAGAGCCGGGGACCCCTCCACGGACACCAGCACTACCGCGGGGTGCGCGGGGCCGCTACGGCCGAGACACGAACCCGCTTCTCCGCTGCCCGTTTCGGTTCTAAGGCCGCACCCCCGCATTGGGGCACACACCCCCCACCACCCCCCGAGGCCGTGCCAACCCCGGCACCCCGCGGGCCATGCGGAAGGGGAACGGGGCACGGCCGCCGCGGTCTCACCCGCCTGCGAGCAGTTGCCGTGGCGGCCGCCGCCCCGCCACACACGCAGCTCCCAGGCGCCCAGCAGGTCGGCGAAGGAGCAGTTGGCCGGCGTGTCGGCCCGCAGCGCCGCGGGCAGCACCGCCAGCAGCACCAGCCCCGAGGCCCATAGCGCCCGCCCCACCATGGCGCTACTCCCACCGCCCTCCGCCGCCGAAATGGGCCCAGCCGCCGCGGCCACGCCGCCAAGCCCGGTCCTGCCGTCCTGGGGCGGGCCCGGGCCCAGGGGCGGGGAGGCGACGGGGCGGGGCCGGGCCAGGCCTCCACGCTGCCACTGCGGAGGGCCTGGGTTGGGCGGAAGGTTGAGGGGGATGGAGGGAAGGCCGAGGGGTGTGAGTGTCCTTGTGTCCCGGCTGCGGCAGTGGAGGGTGGTGTGTCCTCTGAGGGCCATGGCAAGGTGATGGGCCCTCACCCACCTCGCAAGGATATCACCGAATGATTTGGGTTGGAAGGGACCTTAAAGCTCATCCAGTTCCACCCCGCTGCCACTGGCAGGGACACCTTCCACTAGAGCAGCTTGCTCCAAGCCCCTGTGTCCAACCTGGCCTTGAACACTGCCAGGGATGGGGCAGCCACAGCGTCTGTGGGCACCCTGTGCCAGCGCCTTAGCACCCTCACAGGGAAGAACTTTAATCTAAATCTTCAGTTTAGAATAGACATTCTTTCAGTTTAAAGCCATCCCCACTTGTCCTGTCACTACCTGCCCTTGAAAAAGCCCCTCTCCAGATTTCTTGTAGCCTTTTTAGGCACTGGAGCTGCTCTAAGGTCTCCCCAGACCCTTCTCCAGGCTGAACAAGCCCAGCTCTCTCAGCCTGTCTTCATAGGAGGGATGCACCAGCCCTCTGATCATTATGTCTTCCTCCCTAAAGGGTGTCCTCCCCAGAGAATGTCATTCCCAGAGATCATCCTCCTCCACAAAAGGTATCCTCCTCACTGGAAGACACCCTGAACCCCAACAGATGTCCTCTTCAAAGGAAGTCCTTCTCCCTAAAGGGCAGCTTCTTCCCAAAGCCCATCTCCCTCCCAGAGAGCGTCCTTCTCCCCACAGGACAGCCTCCTGCCCAGTTCCCCTGCCCTGCTACCCAACCTTAGGCTTCCACACTCAGAGAAGTCCCCTGCAACGAGGAGCAGGCCGGTGGGGCCGGTCCCCAGTGTTACATCAGGCCTCCCGTCCACCGCGGGTTTAGTGGCACAAAGTGACTCAAAGTTTCCACAGCAGTATGTCACAGCCATGAAAACATGCAGCATCAGTCCTACACGGGGCATAGACCCCAAAAACTTGCATCCCCATTGAGACCCTTTGTACACAGCAGCACTCAGCAAAAAGTGCAGAAGATTCCCCCAGGAGGTGGAAACTGTAGTGACATGAAAGTCTTGCACCCCCAACAACCCAACTGTTTGCAGGGGATGGGTGTTGTCAGAGGGTAGAGATGTCTCCACTGAACCGTGAGCCTCTGAGTGCAGCTCAGCGGATGGCTGGGTGTGCAGGGAAGTGGAGCTTGTTCCACTGTCTCTCTAGATTCAAAATGTGCATGCTTTCACATCCCCAAAGTTATATATGGAATCATATATAGGTTTACTAGTGCGTAAATATACCCTTGTTTAAAGACGAGTTGTACAAAGAATAACCCCTTTCAGCGGAACAAAAAACGCATATGTGTTGGACAATAGTGTTGGCCTTTTTTTAATGCAGTTTATATGGATTAAAAAACAGAAGTTTAGTTTTGTCTTGGTTTTGTCTGTTTGTTTGCTTTCCCAAAGGCATCTACGTCTTTTGTCCTACACATGCATGTGCTTTGCCATTCCTGATCAAGCCTCTCTAGTGAAATGTGGTTGCACAGCATCATTCCCTCTCCTTTCTTTATCAATGACATTTATTTCTTTGCCTCCACACTTCCTGAAAGCAAGCCAAAAGGTCCCAGTGACCTTAGGAAAAAATGCATGTTGCAGTTCTTCATGTTTTATATGCAGGAGCAGATGAGGTCTGTGGTATCTTTGTCTTGTCCCCATGACGTTGACTGGGTGACCCTGCTTCTTTGCATTTTACTGTGCTTCAAACCTCAATTTTCAGTTTCAATTTGTAGCAACTGCAGACTGTCGTTGTGCAAAACACACAGGTTTCTCTTTAATTGCCTCACAGTCACAAGAGATTATTGCAAATAGAGGTGTATTTTACGTAAGGGGGTTATAAAATCATTGCTGAGACCAGGCGTAGGTGATTTGGGTTGAGTTTGCCCTTTCTGAGATAACTCAGATTCTGCTTTTTAGCTGTAGTTTGTTTTACCTGGTTTGAGCAAGGTACAAAATCCCTTGTCTCCAATAATGAGTCAATTAGTTCCATGGAAAAAAACCCTCCCTGGTTCACAAGCTCGTCTGTGTGTCTGAGACACATGGGCTATCATTTGTGCTTGGTGACAGACTTGTCTTTTATCATTACTCAGGTAAGCTGTTATCTGCTTTCTTGAAGCCAAAATGTTATCTAATCTCTTATAAGACCTCCCTAAGCCATGTTTTATCAGTGTTTGACAAAGCTGCTGAGACTGTTGGCAAATTCATGCAATGATGAGCCAAGTCAATGTGTTGGTTTGTTGTCCCCAAGGGGAATGGTTGGGCTAGTAACCTCCTGATAGCTGTAGTGTGCACTCCACTCTTTTGTAAGGTAATTGAAATCACTATCATGGGAGTGTGTGTGTGTGGTGGTGGTGGGGGAACACCCTCAAAATCAAAAGTAAAAATCCTCCAGAAAGTGAATAGCTTTCTGCTGAAACCAGGACACTGGGTTAGTCAGTTGAATCAGCTCAACAAAGGATCCAGCATCAGTTGCCTGGGGTAGAGGGAGATTTTCCTTTGGTGACAACAGATGTGAAGATAAGCTCACCACATGTTGAATGCTTATGACCAGAGTTTTGGCAAATAACAACAAATAAAGCTTTTATTTGTAGCCTATCCCAATCCTGGCCGCTTTGACCTGTCACTGCCTGTACAAATAGAAGTGGTGTGTGACAGTATGGTGATGTGAGGCTGAAAATAAACTTGGGGGAAAAAAAAACCCAGGGATGATTGTTATTCAGTCAGGCCAGTATGGGAGCTAACCATGACCTGGGTGGTAATGAGCGAGGTAAAGGAAAGAACACAAAGATTATGTGCCTGGAGTGCCTCACAAAAAAAAGCTAATTTTAGGGAAAACGAAACTAAAAAAAATAATCCTTGTACACAAGAGCTATTCACTTATTTCAGCTGTAACTGTCTGATGCAAAAATTGTCTCCTTACAAACCCTGCTGGACTTTTATCAATGCACCATCACCCCTACTGCTGCTGAAGCTATTAGCGCAGTATAATGGGACTAATTTTAAAAAACACAGAACCTAAACATAACTGAGGACTGCCTTTTCCTTTCCCTCTTTTGGAAAGGTGCAAAAATGTGAGCATTTTTGTGGTCCTGAAATGAATTCCTCACAGAGAGAATTGTTGCTGTTCTGCAGATGGCTCTCTGCAAGAGCAATGCCCTAATTACATACCTTTAGAAAGTGGAGAGCTGTACTCAGACTTATTTTTCAGAGCATTAATTCATACATTATTGCTATAAAATTTGACCATTTTTTTTTTACTGCAGGGTAGTTAAGCCAGCTTAGAACTATGTGCTTTTATGCATGATTGAACTTACCCTGTTTACTTCACAGTGAAACTACAGAGCCTTGCTCCTGGAGGTTTTTAGGAGGGGGTAGCTAATACATATTTATTTGTTGCCCTATAAATTTGGGTTGTTTCTGAAGAAGACACTATATGGAACAACTCATATAGTTGATAGCAATTATGGAGACTAATTTTGTGACAGAATGAGCAGGGTAGTTTCTCAAGTGTGTGTACAGCTTGATGTACAGCACTTTGCCTGGGACATCTAAACTGATGATTCAAGCTTGTAGCTGTCTAGGAAAGAACTGTTATTTTTCAGAAAGTTAGTTTTGGTTTGGGGGAATTTATTATTAATTATTATAAATTTATTATTTATTCCAGTGCAGGAATAGCAATAAGTAAAAAGCATAAATAGTAATAAACAAAAGCAATGTGAAAGACTTTTATTTAAATTATTATTTTTGGAAATCACCAGTGTTATTTCCTCACATTCTTTCAGTATTATCATTTTTGTCATTTCCTCTAGTGAGGAAAAAGGTAGTTGTCTAAAATTCTACCACTGTCAAAAACCTAAATATTAATAAGCATAGAAATAATAAATAGTATTTAATAATCATAGAAATAATAAATAGTATTAGGGTGGGATTTAAGCACAGTCTAAGCCTGTCATTTAATGATCTGGTGGGCTCTCTGACTGGGAGCATCATTCCTTCCAGGAACACTAACACACTTGTCTGCTGTACAGACAACATAGTGAGATGCACTGGGAAAATGATACAGCTGAATAAAAAACCTGCAAAAAAAAGGGCAGGGGAAAAAGGGAATGGGAAGATATCTTTAATTCAGATCAATTCACCAAGCTGGGCTTCAGCATGTCTTCAAGCCAGTTGAGTTGTTCCACCTGGAGGAACATCTTGCTGAAGCACAGGGCTGGGAATAGCTGGAGGTAGGAGGAAAGAAATCTTGTTCACTGCAATTGCTTCTGAAGTACCCAAATTGTAGAAGGACATTGGTGGAGGCTGATTTTTTTCCTAACGCATGCTGCAAGTGTGGAATTCATAGTGGAATCCAATCCCATAAGTCAAATATAAATATCACCTTTCAGTTACTTTGCCTCGCTTTTGTTCACTGATGACTTATTTTTTCTGCCAACTTTTCTGAAAGATGATACACAGAATGCTTGGCTGCGCAGCCTGTGTGTGTACAAACATAAATCCCTTGTTCCTGGAAAAACATGTCTTAATTTAAATGGTGTTGAATTCGCAGTCCTATTTAGAAAGTTAGGAAATTTGGGTGGATGCTTCCTGGAAACTATTACTTTTGTGATTGTTATGACTATTAAAATAACAATGCTAATTCCATGTTAAGGCACTATTAAAATATCCAGCTAATGTTCCAATTGGAGCAGAATAACATGAAATATTGCTGTAATTAAAAGCAGCATGAAAATCCCATTAACTTCAAAACTGCCAGGAGCTCCAGAAGTTTTAATATAGGGAAACTTGACTTTAAAATCTTATTTATGGCAGGTACTTAAATCTGTAGAATATTA